CATATATGTATAACATTTATATTTAGTTTATAATACATTGGAACTTTCTTGAACGTTATTAGTTGTAAAGCTATCAAAGCAAGGCCTGGAACTTCTACAAAACACGTGTTGATTTTTTTTCTAATTCGCTTGATTTGTGGTAAAGCGGCAAAACAACACATATTAGGTTTTATTTTTGTCAAAAAAATAGATCAGATAATAGAAATAGAATTCGATGCATTGAAATACTTTCTAGAACGTATATTTTTGGCATTGTGCACATTTCGTTGAACTTACGTTCACTTTAGCAGGTAGTTCACGATAGTATGGCATTTAAATCCTGGTTAAGATAAAGCATATTCGGTTCGTTAACTACGAGTATCATTTATGCATAATATTGGTTAATAATTTTAACGGCACACTTAGTTTAAAATTAATAAAAGTAGATCTCTCAAATAGTGTATAGCTTACAGTACGAGTATAGCCTTTTAAACTATAACCCCTCAGTTCATTCAGCTTAATCAGTTTATCTTTAAACTCGTTTATCTCCAAACTACATTTCTCAAATTTGCCTTAGTAATTACTCGGAGATAAACGATTCGTTCGCTAATAATATTTTGTTGCATGTCTTTTTATGTAGGTAGGTCAAAACTGACCAAATGTTTAATTTTTTTTCTAAAATTTTTCTGTGTAATATTTAAAGGTATATTTAAATTTATCATAAAGGTATATTTTACCTTTAAAATTTTAAGACAGTTGTTACAGTAGTTTTTTTTCCTTTAAAATTCTCTAAAACCGTCTTTATTTGCAGCCACATTAGGTGTACCTCTTTCAACTCGATTTCTTCTATACTTTATACCTTCAGAGTATTATTACACCCTGTATTATAGCTGTCTTTCATTATACGAGTATCATACAGCTCCTTGTTAAGATCTCTGATGGAAACTTACAAACAAAAAGATATAAAAGAGCAAAAACTGCGCTCATCTCCCATGTAAGAGTATTGTCTACTCTATGGAATAATTCCGCAGGCTCAATATTTGGTTGTGAGTATAATATATCAGTCCAAAATTGGTACTCGATCATGACACCATACAAATTTAAGAAATATTTGATGTTTCTCAAACTGCTTCGACTGATTTCAAAGAAATTACCAAATGTAGGTCGTGCGACTGTTTGAAAATGGTCAAACTGAAATCCCAAAGGTAGGTAGCAGCAATGTTGGTTCTACCATTTTAATGCACTATCGTAGGACCTGATATTGCTATCCCGTTTCATCGTTGCGCTTAAACCTTTTGGTGCTCTCGTTGAAAGTACTTACATATATCCGTTAAGTTTTTTGTGAACATCCATTCAAGGTTTAGTGATGATGGGTTTCAAGTATTTTGTGTTGAGTTTGTAATAGAACTGGGTATTCACAGAGAAAGTGGAAAGCAGTTTCTGTTATTCCGTTATTCTATCTAGCACCTGGGATATATATGGTTATATATCCTCAAAATTTACTATATATCATATAAATCGGCCAGAATGTGAGATATTTCAATTAAGCTAAACGGCAAAATTTCTCTTGATCCTTCCTAACTTGTATATAAATATTGAACTTCTTTTGTTTTATCTTATGATATATATATTATATATATGTATGTATGTATCATCAGAATATAATGCAATTACCGCTTAAGGCATTGTCTCAGCATTTCTAAATATTGCCAACATTGAGATCTTCGAAAAAAGTTGACAACGAGTTGGCAACAGCAACATAATAACTTCCAAACAAATCCGTCAAATGTCACAGCTTACTGTCGCCACATAGCGGTTCAATACCTTTGATCTCTAATACTCGTACAAACAGAATTACATACTTACAAATGTATTCACCTATGCTCGAACGAAATCGCGAAGGTTAAGAGCTTATCAACGCATGCTGTTCTTAAGCATGTGGAATTGAAAAAATAAAAAATAATAATAACAACAATAACAATTGCAGGTACACTTGTTCGTCAATTACGAGAAGCGAGCGCAAGACCTTTACTCGAATATAAATATAAACGGAAAAGAGGCAGAAAAAATAAACGAGAATATCAAGAACACCGTAATTGCTTACGATCGTCGGCAACATTTCAACTTGTTTTAATGTAATTTATTAAACGACTCAATAAGATGAAATATATGCTGGCAATAAAAATTGATATAATACTTGAAATACGTCAACTTCCCTACTTCATTTGATACGCTTGTAGGTGCTTAAGCTCATTTAGAACTTCCTGCTTGCCGCCGGGCTTTGTCCTTGCAACCCAACTGCTGCTGCCACTCCACTCAGCCTGGTCACTCGTTTTTCAATTTCAACTCAAAGCCACGACTGCCGGTTCTTTGTGCTTTTCTTGAACGCTTTGTGACATTTTTTCTTACGACAATTTGATTCCGTTTGTTTTTCTGCTCTGTGCTCTCATTTGCGGACGGCGCTTCGCTTTGCTGTGATCATTAAATGTTTCATTTGTCTCAATAAATTCTTTGCTAATAAAGTAGGTTGATATATTCTGTTGCTTTTGATCGCGTGCGACAGTTAGTTTGCACGAGATCACGAGATTACTACCCTGATTGAACTTTTCCATATTAGCTGTGATATGTACATATGTAATTTATGTAGGAATGTGAGGTATAAATTTATTCAGAATTTATTTATGATTGAAAATGTTTTCAATACGAAACTATAAAATTCTTTAAAATAAAATTGCTTCTCGAAACAAACATTCGACTTTGAGGGTATTTAATAATTTAGCCACTTTACTAACATACAGTTTACAGTTCACAACAAATTTCTTGCAATTTTGGTACAAAAATTGCATAAAGTTGTGAGAAGATCCCGGAGGTCTTTCTAACGTGAGAGGATGCCACTAAATGCGTTCATTTTATGGAAACGTGTTCCTTATTACCCTGAGGTTAAGATCCGAATGAAGCGACTCTCTCCTTAAGCTGCAGCTTAGATTGACTATTACACCGACGATGCAAACAGGGCAGAAAGTATTGGCACATAGTCGTGAGTGCACATATTGGGGCAAATTTCTTCTGTTAATGTATTTGCAATTTATCTCTACAGCGACACGATTTATTAAGTTTGATGTAAACAAAAGCCAAACAACATCGCACCTTGGGAAAATAAATAGTCCTTCAGTAGGTTTAATTGTGGCATTGTATATAGGTAACTGCAGACTCTGGAACTATTCTCCTCAGAAAACTATTGATACTGCGGCAAAAAAAACAGTGAAGAATGAAGACCACAATAGACCATGGATTGCGGTGTAAACCCCAGTTTCCATATATTATATTTTAAGCCATGTACTCTAAAGATGCCATTTATTTTATTCACTATATAAGTTCCTGAATAGTTTTTATACAAATTTGATTCTAAAACTTCCTATATTCGCTAACCAAATAATATTCCTATATATCTCACTTATTAATCGTATATTCGTATACGGTACGAAGTCATCGTAGATTCTTAACTTTTACATATACAAAGTTACAAATATTTCAATAAAAGAAAAAGTGTGCAACTTGTTTCATTTTTACAAAGAGCGTATATAAAATTTTGTGTTAAACTTGAAAAAGAATTCGCTAGGACATACAAATGTATGAATTGATGATAGTTTTTGGAGATGATTAAATTCGTCGTACTCAAATTTATACATTTAAAATACCACCAACGGCCAGGTCGCGCAGAAGCGAGTAATCGTGCTGAATTGCTGCAAAAAGCCCGTGAAATGTTGGCTGAGAGATTAATGTGTGTTTACGATTTTTTAATGGAAGAACAGATATCTTTAACCAGCTTCTCCCACGTTCCGTATTAGCCTGTTCTATCACCATTTGACTATTTTCTATTTCCAAAACTGAAAGCCGACATGAAAGGACCATTTTATGATTATATCACAGCCATTCAAGCAGCTATATCCGAGGTGTTGAGGAACATTCTTATAAATCGAATTGTTATAATGGAACATACGTGGAATAAATAATAATTTTGAGGACATACTTATGTGCTAGGAGAGCTTGTTGATGCTTGAGCTATCTAGTAACAAGTCAAAAGGTGGTATTGACATACAAAATTGGAAGTGCATTTTTTAACAGATCGATATGTACGCCTTATTCCACTTTTAGTTGTTCGAAGATATCCATTATATGAAAGATGACTACACACTATTTTTCCATCGTAGTATGAGTTGCAAGAGGTGGGAAAATTCAATTGCCACACGAGTAATTTTGTTCGTGAAGTTGATGTAATATGGTATCTAATTGATAAAGTGGTGAACCCAACCTTACGGAAATAATGTAGCAAGTTATGCTCCACATCACTGTGAAGTCTTTTACTTAATTCGTAGCTTAATTGGTGACCAAGTTACAACAGCTCATGCTTTTTCCAGTACTTTCAATTTTGTCCATCCGTGGCAAAGAACATGTTCATTAAGTTTCATAAAGACTTCATGAGTTTTATTAACGTTATCTATATATATTATAAAAATAATATATTTTAAAAAGTTTTATAGAGGATTTTGTTGTATTCATCAAACTTGTTAAACAGATAATCTGACTTGAATTCAAGAAACAATCATATCAATCGAGTCTTTTACTGTAATGGAAGTAGTAAAGATACGTTTTGCGGGTAACACTAGTATAAAGAGAGTTTGATGATTTTATTATAACACTGAAAGTCGGGCCTATAAATATTTTTACATAATTTCATCATTCTTTACCATTGAAAGAGAAAATGTATAGAACGGAATTAAGTCAAACGGCACTTAAAGAGAATATAATGCACGTAAATGTGCTTTTGCAAATGCGGATATGCTGTTTTGCACCGAAATCCAGTAGTAGTAACTAATGAAACAACAACAACAACAACGAAAAACAATTCAGCGATAAATGGTTTGAAAATGGAAATTAAGTTGAAACTGCTTTTAAGAATTTAAAAATGGCTTAAAGCCGTTCTGGACTGGTTGGCTGCTTGGCTCGCAACAACAACAAAGTAAGGTAACACAGTTGCTGGCAACAAATATGCCGTCGCTACCAAAGTGCCAATTATAAATGCCGGGCCGGCTTACTCCCAGCCGCTGGGCAATCGCTTAATAAGCCGCTGCTGCTGCTTGCACCGTTTCGCTAATGTTGCCAATGCACAGCAAGGCGCGCAACACATGCCGTCGATACGCAATTGTAATGTTGCTCGCTCTTGATTAGTCTTTTATTCATATTATAAGGCTGTTGTTGGTGTTTTTCTTCCAACGTAATTATTGTGTCGATTTTCTAAAGGTGCAATTGTGCTTGGTAGTCACTACTTTTTTATTTTTCGAAAGCAAGATTTCACTGCTCACTACTTAACAAATACATTTTATATAATTCACACTTACTTTTAATGTTTAGTTGCCATGCAAAGCCTTAACTTATATTACAACAATGTTTTTATAATTTTTTTTTTTTTAATTATTTCTTTGCGCATATTTTTTCCACTCGTCGACCACAATTAGATTGCAACTGTGAATTTAACGCAATTTTACCATTTATTTATACATTTTATAATTTTTTCTAATTCATAATATAATAAACACTTATATATACTTGTATCTCTGCACTTTGTGATGTATAAATTAAACAATTATAAATGCGCTTATTTGCCGATATTTATGTGCATTAGTAACGCAGTGCACTCTAACTGATTATAAAATCCACTTGCCGCTACATATCTTGAACTGGGAAATGAAATGAGAATACTAGTAGGCCAGGCTTAATTTACAAGTGGTTATAATTTTGTTATATATATTACATTACGTGTGCGTAATGCTGATTACATCTAATTACCTAACACGCGGTATAAAAATAAAATAAATAGTTTAATTATAAAGTATTGCGTATATAATATAGTATTGTTATATATAATA